TGGAAGCCCTTTAATACCTCTTTCAAGAGAGTCTTTCTGAGTAGTTACAGCACTATTTAAAGACTGCACCAAAAGGCACTGCATTCTTTAAGAGCAGGGTCTTCTGCTAGGTCAGTGAAGAGGTTACAGACCCAGCAATAGGACCCAAGAAGGGTTCTTGTGACAACACCCTCACACGCAGCACTGCTGCAGCTCTCCACAGGCAACAGAGACAAAGTAAGTGCACTCCGAGCAGTATAAAATACAGTGCTTCCTCTAATCCTCTATTAAATGCTCATTATATTTTTTTCCACAGCACCTCACTCATTAAACCTCCATGAAACTCACCTCCCCCAACAAGTCCAAAAAGCACCCCAGCCTTTGCTGCTGCCTTATATAGCCCCTCAGCTTGTTAAGGCAGACCCAGGTGGGCTCCAAGTAATTTGCTGCTTCTGCATATAAAGAGGAGCTCAAGCACCACCCTTGAATTCTGCTTCAGGAAAAGGAGAGAGGAGGAGGAGGAGGAGGGAAGTCTAGACTATGTCCAGCTTATAAGAAAAATAGGGTCAGGCTCTTAGAAATCAGATGCTCTTGTGTTTGAACTCAGAGAAGGGGTGTTTTTAGGTTAAGTCTGTAAGCGCAAGGATTTTTTTTGTCCTGTCTTACACTTGCAAGGTAAGAATACAGAAAGTGAGCAAAATCAGGTTATAGAGCACTTGTGTAGCTAAGTAAGGACTCTGCAGAAATCCTACTAGTCGTGATGCCAAGCTTCATTTAGTGCAATTGTGTGAGGCAGGGCATGAATGAGCACATTAGGAAGACAGACTTAAGTAGAGGATTCAATGGAGGAGGTAGGTCCCCAGGAATGACTGAGTGGTGCTGCAGGATTTCTTGTGTGTGGGCTTGTGATACTGGGAATTGCAGCTGAAGCATATTTGAAGCAATGTGAAAGCAGGCCTGGCTCAGCTTCTTCATATGGTGATTCTTAGTTGGAACTATTTCTTGTGGCTTTTTCAGGCTTTTCTCAAGAAAAAAAAGCTGAACCTTAAATCTACAGGAAAGAAAGGTTAAAGGGGCATTGCGCAGCATTTCTCTGCTCTAAGCCAGAGCTGCCCTTATTGTTCCTGGCAGATCCTAGGATGCTGTTGAAGGCTTCCTGGGATGGTGAGCTTGTCTTTCATGCTGCAGCCACTTGCAGAGTCTGATTCTCCTTCTACTTGAAGTGTTTTTTCCTTATAGTGAACATAAATCTTGCCCTACCCCCAGTGGATATGAGCAGGTCATTTGCTTGCTCTCTTCTATTCATCGCCTTTTTGGTACAAGGACAAATGTTGCAGCACAGTTTCCTTGTGAGGTGCTCTTCTGAGGCTCTGATACCAAAGAAATGAAGGAGAGGATGTAAGCTGAATTTATTTCTTCCCTATTGCCAAATAGGGCTAGTAAGTGTAAATCTCATACAGATTTGTGGTCAGAAAACAAAAAGTGTGTTGTCTGAAAGTCTGTCTTAACCTTCCTGTGCCAACCAAAAGAGATTTTTTGGGGGGTAGATGCTTCTCATCTGAGGTTTTCTGTAATCTTTCTGGTGTTATAGAAGGCTCCTGTTCTCCATTTACAGCTCCTTGTATAGGTTCCTCTACTCCCCCTATTTCTGGCCCTGCCCCAAGGATAGGTATGGTTATTTTGGCAAATCGATTTATTGGTGCTTTGTACCATGGGGGTTTCATCTTCTGCAAGGATCCTGGGGTAAGAGGGACCTACAGGAAAGGTAATGTTTCTTATTAAATTGCACCTGGGGTTTATGGCAGCTGAGGCAGTTTTGTCACTTCTGTGTAATACTGGTCACTGAAGGATTTGGAAAAAATATTCTAACAGATCCCTGCTGACTTATTTCAAAGCCTAAAATACAAAGTGCTAATTTAGGGAAATAATTGGAAAAATAAATACAAATTAAGTTTTTCCCTTTTCATTTAGATTTCAACACTTAAATCCCCCACTTTCTCCTCTTGAAAAGAGAACTTAAAAGGCTTTTTTTTCAAAGTTTAGTTTCCAAAGAACATATTGCTGTAAAAAAAGGGGGGATTCAAATTCTGTTCCTATAAGAGACTCTGGCAGGCTGCTGGTATGTTGATGAGCAGATCTCAAATATTTGTGCTTTGGATTTGGCTCATTAAACTTCTCTAAACAGGAATGCTTGTCCCAGCCCTGAAGTTAGAAAAAAACTAATGGATGCATTCAAAAAGTGACAGTATGACTGTCTTTGTACATTAATCTTTTTAGGTATTTCAATTTTTTTTCCCCAAAGAACTGGGAAGGTTGAGACTTCTAGTTCTTTGATACTATAAATGACTAATTTGAATAATGTAGGCAACCCAATAACCTTTGTTATTATTTGAAAGGTTATTCTGAGCCTGAAACCAATGTGGCTTTAATGATTTACCTGCTTATGCCACTGGTGTATCAGTCATGAACATTTTGACTGTGTATTACTTCAATCATCAGAGTCTCCCTAACTGTGTATCTAGGTGTTATGGAGATATACATACATAGTGATGAGGATGGATGGGTCTTTGCTTGTTTCCTGGTAGAAAGTAACTTCCAAAATCAGTGTGGGTTGAACATAAATACGTTCTGGGTGTGTTTTTTCCAATGCTGGATTAAGCACTGTCAATAACTCCAGCTGGGCATGACATTTTAAGAGGGCTGGATCTTTTTTCTTTTTAATTATAATCAATGCAGTGAACAGCAGATAAGGGTGACCCGAAGCCATGGTGAAACTGCTCGATCTGTGAGCAATGTTACAGCCCTGCGACCGCATCAGCCTCAGCGAATAATCCCTGATCCACCCCGAGCATCTCACGTGGTGCTCTGCCAGTGGTACCCTGCAACTGGAGTTTGACTTTCTGCAGCTGCAAAATCTAAGTCTTGGCGTGGAATGATTCAAAGCTAGGGACAAAGGAGGAGAAAAAAAGATTGTGAGCTCTCAAATGTGGTACGTGGCTGGGGAAAACATCTGGCAAATGCCTTCACTGAGTCCAGTGGAAAGGATTCTGCTTCTGCATGTGTTTGCTCAGGGCTGGCATCTCCCCGATAGTGCTCCCTGTATTGAGTGGTGTGCTGCAAATAAACAATGCAGCCATTAGGGCTTTTACCATCATCCTAATGGGAACAGCTGATTAGGAAGCTTTTTTTAGAGGGAGGGTGGGAAGGAAATGCTGTGCAATGGCCTGACCGAAGTTGCTGGGACAACTGACAGCAGGTCAGTGCGGGATCTGCATAAAATGCCCTTGGGAGTGTTTTTAGAGCTATGCAATTTTCCCCCTTTTCCTTTTCAGGATTGTAGGCTTTGACAGAAGCAGGAGCAGACATGATGTTTCAAGGCTTGTAGACCCATTTTCATTGTGCATTTACTTTGCAGACAGGCTGCTTAAAGGTTCCTGTCTTCACAAAGATTGTGAGATTTTTAAGATTTGGTATTTCTTTTACATCAAGGGGTCATTAACTTCTGTTTCCCCATCCTGATACATGATGATGGCTGTTTACTGGCCTGCAAGAAGAGGAGTTGGTGTCGGTCTAGTTTCTGGAGTGATTTTCTGTTAAAGTAACTAAAATTGCCACCTGAGACTGTTATATGGGACTGGATGTTCAGTCTAGTGCTTTTAGCCCTGTGTTGTGAAAAAGCATATGGAGAGAAGATAAACAAACCCAGGGTACTCAAAGCAAGTGTACTTAAAGCCATATCTTTATTTCAGCGACTTTTGCAAACAGCTGTGGATAGGCGAGGTGCAGCAGCGAAGCAGTTTGCCTAGCAAGAACTTTTCGCGTGTCCTTCATACCAATGGCTCGGGATGCAAACAAGAGACTGGGCGAATGGGCAAAGAGGAACTGGGGAAAATGATGTTTCTTGCTGCTGCATGTACCTTTCCACTGTTATGTCAATATTTTTTAGGAGAAAAGAAACCAAATCACTTGAAATATCACTGCTTGCAGTAAACCACCTTTTTTTCTTTCCAGTTTTCTTCTGCGCTTTCCAGAAATAAGGGTGCTATAAGGTGGTAATTTACAGACATGAGCGTGGCCTCGAGCTCCAGCTTGGCGATGAGCGCTCTGAAATTGGATCCCAAGGCAGGCCCTGCCGTTTTCCTTAAAATGGGAAATACACACATTCCCAGCCATATTGGGTGTTCTTGTGTGAGAAGTATTGCTAGCAGTACAGAAGTCTAGCAAAGTCATAGCACGTGGCTACAGCTGTACTTAAACTGTGTGCCTCTGAAAAAGCTTTGCTGGATCGATATAGAATCATAGTATAGTTTGGGTTGGAAGGGACCTTAAAGATCATCTACTTCCAACCCCCCTGCTATGGGCAGGGACATCTTCCATTAGAAGATACACTTTTATTTATCTAATTCTAGCATTATGCTCTCAGAATGTAATATTACACGAAATGGAACAAAAATACAACTTAGGGTAAATGTACTGTGCAAAAATGTTGTTCTTAACACTGGTGTGGTCTTGTCTACCTGAGTGGAACAGACCTGGTATAGGTGCTGGCAAGTGTGGGCTTGTATTGGCAATACTGCTCACTGCAAAGATACCAGAGTATTGTTGTAGGAGTAATGACATTTGTTAACTAGCACCAAGATAAACGGTATAACTGAAGATTATTCTTGGATATAATTAAAATGCCTTTTCTAAAGCAGAACAAAGAAGTCAGATTTTTGCTACCAACTTGGCAAACTCTTTAGGGGTGTTACTGGGGATCTATACAGGGCTGCACAACTGGGGCCTTCTGCATGCATCTTCTCCAGGGCACGTAAGGGCTGAAGCCTTCCTACTACTTGTGTAGCTTGCATCACCTTGAAACAGTCACCTCCATCCACATGGGTGTCCTTGGCGTGGACAGACATCCCTGTCAGCAGGCCAGGAGGCCTGTAAGTCTTCCAAGTGGAACTAGACATAGGCATTTCTAAGAGGGGAGACACTAATGTATCTACCAAAGCTTTGATCCTGAAGCTGATAAACGGCTACTCTACAGCTGGCTTGATTAAATGGCCGTTGAAGATGATGTAAACATCAGATTCCTCACTATAGATGGCATTTTCTCGTTCCCGCTTGAACATCCTCACCCAGACCTCCTCTCCTTCCTGCAGGTCCAGCATCAGGCTCTGGCTCTGCATGATGCTCCGATCACTGGGCTGGGCATAGAGGATGGCCACCTCCTTCTCGTTCTTCATCAAGTGCAGGTAGGTCTCCTTGAAATTCCAGGTATGGACGTTGAGGCTGAAGTAGTAGATTCCTGCCACGTAGCAGAAGAACTTCCCCGAGAACATGTTGAAGTGCTTGTAGAGGTTCACAAACTCTGTGTCAAAAGTGACGTGCTGGAAGTAGTCTGAGCTGTGAAGAGGTTTTCTCCGACCCACTGAGAAAGCAGCATAAAGCTGCTTGCAGGAATGGCCTTGGGGACCAGGCTGGCCTTTCTGTCCCTTCCGTCCATTAAAGCCACGCAGCCCTCTTTCTCCTTCCTTCCCAACTGCTCCAGGGTACCCTTTCTCTCCCATTTCACCCTTCTCACCTGTGAGCATAAAAGAAAACTTCGTTAAACACAAGCACCCAAAGGCCAAGGTGCAGATGTATCCTGCTGGAGACAACCAGCAAACCAGCTGCTAAAACATTCTTTTCCCAGCACAGCTGTCTGGAAGCATTGGTCAGACACCAGCACCTTCCTAATTCTCAGAAGGATAAAAATACCAGGTGAGACCTTGGCTCCTCTGAGCTTGTGGTGCCAATGTTCAATGTCCCATAGTGGAACTCCATGGCCTGAGGGGACCCGTTACATGAATCCAGTATTCATGAGCCCAGCCCCTTTGTGCAGAGGTTAGGGCAAGAGGAATTATTATTTTGCTGAGGTCAGATTTTGGCCTTGGAGAGGTGGTTGGGTTTGTATGCTCTGTGAATCTCTGCTCCCAGGACTCCTGGCCCATCTGTATTATAGGTGTAACTTTTGTTTGCTTGCCTCACTGAGACAAGAAGTGTGTAATGGACAAAGTGAATGAGCATCTTTCCTAACTTCTCACTCTACAGGTTAGTAATTCTGTGGTAACATTTGCACGTGGTTTTTAGCATGACCCAACTTGAACTTCCAGTGATTCTGGGGTTTTTTGGATGGATTAGAGCCCTTTGCCAACCCTTCTCACTTGTGCACGCTTAGAGCTTGTGCCATGTCACCCCTTGGCCTTCTTTTGAGTAAAGTGGATGTGTTTCTTGATGCAGGGAGGAGCACAGCTTGCAAAATGAGGGTGAGCAAGTAAGGTAAAAGACGTTACCATGGTAGTCAGCTTTACCCACCTTTGAGGATGGTGATATCTATAGTGGGCTGGACTTTGGGTACCGAATAGGCAGGGTCGCTGCTCATCCTTGTGTATCGTGAGGAGATGATGGAGACGGGCTGCTCTGAGGGCCCGCAGCATCGCACGCACGAGAGGCGCCGCGGTTCCCGTCTCGGCAGACCCTTTTCCAGCACGGCGCCGGTGTTCGCGGTGGACACCAAGAGCAGGAGAAACACAGCGCTCATCTTCAGTGGAGCAAAGGAACAGCAATGATTAACACTGTGGTTCAAACCAGAGCTTCTGGTGGGCCATCTGTTAATGTTACTGCAAGGTGCATTTCTTCTGATTAATTATTAGCTTATCTTGTAGTGGCACCAGGAGACTCCAGGTAGGGAGGGTGCCCCACTGCGTGCTGTTTACAAGCAGTGGAAAAGGCAATCCCTATCTCATTACCTGCAGTTGAAACGCCTGCCAAGGGACGCCAGGTAAACAAAAGAAAAACCAAACAAACCCCCTGTGCCCTGTGAAACCTGCTGAGATCAGAAGCTAAGGGTGAGATGCTTAGAGCTGTTGTAGCAAGCTCTGCTCAGGGAACACTTGCCTGGCTGCTGATGGACCAGCCCTTGCAAAAGGTGCTGGGTAAAAGACACCAAGTGCTGCCCTGTCAGTTTTATTGCACTGCCATCGTGAAAAATTCAAAATTAGATGCAGAAAATGAAACTATTTACATATAGAGCCTAAAGCTGATTTTTTTTTAATGAAAAACCTGAAGATAAATGAAATTAGAAGAAATCAAAAGCATTCGCCTCTTTAGTCTCTCACAGCCTCTTACTGGCAACCTCTTTCCGAGGTGACTTCCCCAAGCGGTTTGTGGCTCTGACCATACCTGTGTGCTCTTCCTAGCAGAATTTCTGTGTACGCTTTCCATTTTAATTTTCCAGTGTGCAGAATGGAAAGCCGAACAGCTGCAACAAACAGACCGACCTGGTATTTCTTTTGCACAAACACTAGTTTTTGAGATGATCTATTGCTTTTTCATCTGCTACCGGCAAGCTCCAAAGGCCCTGAATACCGGGTGAGATGAACAGAGAGAAAATACTTCAAGTGGCGCAGAGGAGGTGAGTTTTCCCTAGCTCCCCAGTGGCCTCCTCCCTAGGGAGGGATTGGAGCTGGAGACAGGCACCTGCTGCCTCTTACCATGTATAATTAGTGCCATTCTACTGATTGCAGTGGTGTTTCATACAAGACAGATTTTGGACTGACTTTTTTGGACTTTATCCAAAGTCCAGTTAGTCAGATGGACTCCTGTTGACCTCAGGCTGGGGACAGCTTTTATAGATCCTCTTCTGCCAGCTTTAATCCCTGGAATAGGTGGGGAAGGTACTAGCTAGATGTCCTGGCTTTCAGAAATAGCTCAGAGAACACACAGGTCCCATCTGCAGAGGCAGGAAGGGAGGGAATCCTGCCTTGGAGTTCTACAAAGGCTTCACTGGGCACAAGATGGACCAGTTGAGAAAATATGAAGAAAAAAGTGCATCAGCACAGGGGAAGGTACTTGAATTGTACTGGCATTCTTGGGAGATGCTTTCTTCTGGTTCTTACCTGCCCCCCCCCCTCCCAAAACCCTGTCATTCACACCTTTTATTATTTGGTGTAATCCAGCCTCCTGGAAACCTGATGAATCCTTATTAGCAGCAACATAATAACTTTCCTTCCGACAGCAGTGAAAGTTCTTTCATCAAATCTGCCATAACTTGAAATGATCTTTCTATTCACAGTTGTACCTCATTCTAGGTACAAGTCTGAGGAGGGACTAATACTCCTTTCATATCGGTGTTCAGGGCCTGAATTCCATTTTCATTAAGTCCTTTTTAATTTTCATTCACTTCTGAAGCCATCTTTGTGCTGCCAAACAGGAACAGAAATGCAATGCAAGTCTAAACGGACAGCAGGTCATAAATAACCAGCCTGTACGTGACCAGACAGAAAGTTTGCACCGCAGAGAGCATTTGATGTCCGTGTAATGGTTCTGGGGTCTCCTCTGCAGTGATTAAATTTTGTGCATATACATAATGTCTAAAGAAGACCCTGTGTTCACCCAGAGTCCCAGGCAATCAGGGCCAATGTATCCTTTTTGGGGCTAAAAGCTATTTAGCCCTTCTCAGGACTGTGGGTGGTCAATAACCTGGTGATAAAGTATAGGGCATTTGGTTACATTATCAGAACATTAAAACCAGAGGACATAATTGCTCATAATACCTTCATGAGTGAGAAAGAGCATTCATTGAGAGGCCTATTCATAACAGGCAGAAGGGAAAGGATCCATAAATATGAAGAGATTACTTTACATTTTTATAGACCATTATTCTCCCTAAGATGAATGACTTCCCTATTTTTAGAAGTGACTTAAGGGGAAAAAAAAAGTCTGGGTGAAAAATCCGTGTTCATGTGGTGCATGTTTCACATTATGGTAATCCAAGCACCCATTGAAGAAATCGTGGCCACTTGCATGATTCATGAAGAACAATTACTCATGTTATTGGCTAGAAATTGCATTTGGAAAAAAAAACTGAAGCCAACAATGCCACAACCCAGTCAGTTCAGGGTATCATAGAAGAAAAATCCCCGTTTTTCTTCAAAAGTTAGTTCGCTAATGTGGCAGAAACATGTATTTGCTTGCTATGTCTGTGGTTAGGTGAAACCTTAACGAGGTATGTGGATAAACAGACTCTGCCCATAACAGACAAGAAAGGACAGGAGAAGCAGTAAAATAGGAAAGAGGTGGAGAGACAGGAGTCAATGAGCACTGCAAGAGAAGAATGGTGAATTCAGCAGCATGGGATTATGTTTGAAAGACATCCAGCACAAAACTGGACATCAGCTGAAGCAAAACATTAAAGCAGATCGATCAAATGTGCAACAGAAAACAAGCCTGGTAAGGATTTCCTTGTAACAAGATCATGTCAATCTGGAGAAAAGAATGATTTGAGCCAGATTTCAGAGGAGAAGTAAATATAACTCCGGGGGTGGTGGTGAAGTCAAATCTGAAGCCTTAAAAAAAAATGTAAAAAGGGCAAAGCTCGGTTTTTAAGATCAGTGAGGTAAAGTGAGAGGTTGTTTTTAGCCATTTAGTTTTGCCCATGAAGACAACTGTTGTGACCTTATTTTGTCAAATGTGGTGAGGATGGATTTGACTTCAGCTGCCCAGGTTTATCTCCTTCAGAAGGCAGCAAACAACGAACTGGGCTTTGCGCTGCTATGGCCACGACTCACCAGGGCGCAGACTGGGAGGCTGCCTCTCCCACCCATCATTCAGATCCCCCCCATGGGAACGACATCCATCCTCCATCCCACCGCGATCCAACATGCTCGTTAGTGCCTGAAATGATGCATTAGTACCGCACTGAATGCCCCAAGGCTGCAAAACTGAGTATGTCCCTCCTCGGTCGTCCTTCAAGACGCTTCTCTAGAGGTGGATAGGAGCATCCTGAAAGCAACAGATTGAAACTGGAAGCGTAAATTATTGTCTTTATCTTCCATGTACTGGGAACCTGCAAATTGCAACCTGGTTCGGTTTAGAAATCTTGTTTTTCTTATTGGGTAGAAAACCCCAGAGATGATGACAGATATGCAGACATCCTAATGGCTGGGAGGAAAACTATTCTCCTCTCTTTGGAAACTTTGCGGTCCATAAATGCTTCACCCAAGCGCAAGACGATGGTCTCAGCCCTCCCTCTCTCAAAGCCATTTTTTCAGTTCAGCTTCTTTGGCTCTGCTTTCGCTCACGTTCGTTTTGAAACAGTTGATTGACAACTGATGAGTTTGAAACGTTTCAGCTGAAAAGCTTGTGGTGACGTGTAGAAAAATGTAAATTGTCTTAATGCTTCTGACACTTCTTGCAAAACGCTTGTGAAGCAGAAAGCTCACCATGAGGCTGGGCACACAGCCTGTTTGGGTGAGATAGCTGATTTCAAGATAAATTATTTGCTCTTCCCGTGGCACTGTCAAGCCTCCGCACTCCAAAGCCATGAAGTGCAGCAGAGCCCCCGGCCTCTGCAGGTGGAACCAGGATGCAAACCAACAACCAAGTGTGAATTTAATCTGATGCTAAGGAAGAAACTCTGCATGTGCTAAATGGGCAGATCTATCTTTTGGACAATATTTTGGCAAACGAAATGAAAATTTATGAATGATGAAATGAGACATCCGAACCTGATGAAAAGGCAGTTAATTTCAGTGAATTTTGACGAGGATAGCTGGTGGTTGTGTTCATTATAACATTAGAATATATGTTATTGTTGGAGAGCTGCTTAAACATAATGAAAGGTTTCTTTGACTGAAACCATCTTTAGCTAAGGTTTAAAAAGACTGTTTGCTTTTTCTGTCCCTTTTCTTCCCCTCTAAATTTCCGAGTAGAAAAACAACATTAAAATATCACCAAAAGGGATTGTTTGTTCAGGTATTTCTGCCTGGCCCAAAACAAGAAGTAAAAGCAAGCAAAAATAGGGGTCTCCTTGCACTAAATTCAAACACTCCCCTCGTTCAGACCCTTTCGAAAAGGGTGTGTCTGTCTTTCGGACCAGAGCTGGCAATATGAACCCTTTAAGGGCCGCTGCCTCACAGTGCTGGTGAGGATGCGATGCCCAGACTGAGGATGCTGTTGTCTACCATGCTCCATCCAAGGCGGAACAGACGATTAAATAATGTATTTTTGCTTTGCACTGACCTTGGATGTACCCTGACTGAAGTATAATCATCAAGGTTTTTATTTACACATTTTTTTACCTACTATGAATAACTTGCATCAGAAGTGCTGGTTTTCCAGCAGCACCTGGCATTCCCAGTGTCTGCCAGCAAAAAAAAGGCCAAATTCCTCCCATCTAAGGCTTTAGAGTTGCCACAAACCTTTGCTAGGGAAGGGCAGAAACCATTAGTTCCAGTTCAGGGAGTTAAATGATGTGATTCTTTCTTCTTGTGTGGAACTTCTTATTTAAACATATTTTCTTGACACTATTACAGCTGGAGAGAGCACCTTGATTGATTTTTTAGGTTCATGATTGAGTTTAATCTTACAGCTCAAGGTAGACAGCTTATGTATGAGGCGCATTTGCTCATGCAAAGCTTTTTAATCATTCTGTGTACCTGAAGAATTTTAACACTTTGATAAGAAATCCCCATAATATCTGCAAAAATAGCTTACTTGCTCTGCACAAGGAGAAAATAAAGCAAGAAGGCAAAGCAAGTC